GCACGGTGCTTCGTCGACGGCGCGGAATGTTGTCCCTGTCGACGTGCTCAGTATCCAGCCACAATGTGGCTTGTGCAGCTCAGCCAATACATGCATGCATCCAGCTGTGAAGACTTGGCCGAAATCCCATCACCGCTTCGAGCATCTTTCACGTGCAATCACTTGCAGACCCGCACAGTATCTAAAAATTTGGTCAAGTATCATTGTGTGCCAATGGTTTGCACTGCAATTGGCCCCCATTGGAGCCCAAGAAACAGTTAGCCGCCCGTAGGCACAGGCCGCACAGGTCTCCACCGTACGGCCGCCGTCTGGTCGCACTACCAATCATCCCTGTCTGCCAGACCTCTCCTTTTGGCGCGCGTCTGCAGGCCAGCTGGCTGCCGAATCCAAAATTAGAATCTCATCCTGGCCGCGCCTTGATTGGATCGAGCCTCTGCCGCCCCACTGACAAGTGCCCATGCCATCTGCAAGCACTGGCTAGGGACGACGAGGCTTTCTTTACCAGACGCATCCGCGATGCAAGCAGCAAAGACGATCACATCCTTCTATCCTCCGGTCCAGGCTTTGGACGTCAAATGCTACCCCAGGCTGAGCTTTAGTGGCCGCGAAGAATGGATCGATAGCCACTCACGTCTGCAGCCTACAGATTGTAGCCGCTTCCCTGCAAAGATGGGGCTCACATGCCTCACATAAGGATCTCTTCTGTCCCCGACCCTCCAGCCAACTGCTGGTCGGTTCTCTTCTCTCTCCTCCACATTTCTCTTCTCCGGTGCACATTTCACGATGTGCGTCTTTTCTTATCTTTATTTTTGTCACTGAAGTTTTTATTTAATTCCAGTAGACGCATCGTTGATCGAAGCAGCCTGTCGTTTGGATAATCTTTTCGTTCTATTTTCCGGCGCCGGTCGTCGGTATCACAGCTTACGCTTACTTCCATTTTGCGTTACCAAGGGACACGCCCGGCGCGTTCTCTGGGGGGGAGTGTAAGGGTGGGGGGAAAGGAAAAACGAAAGCGAAAAAAAAGAAAAAGAAAAGGTCGGTCGTCGTTATCTGGATATAACGTCCGGCCGAGCGAACCATGGCGACAACTCTCCACGACTCGCCAAGAAACCTCCAGCCTCCTGAGCCTTCGCTGGGTCGAAGGCCAAAAATAGCACTTAATCCTGTAATTGAAGAAGATAGCAATGATGGGCGGGGGGGAAACGCAGCTATGGACCAGCAAAGGGGACGAGGCAATCCGTCGCTCTTGAAGATCGAGGCCTGGTTGTCACCGATGAGCGATCACTTCCCAACGCCGAGGGGGATTCCTTACCTTTCCACTCCTGTCCTTCCGCGGTCACCCTCGTCCATATCAAAAGACGGTAGCTCGCCCACATTCAGTTCTACGAACATGTGGAATCGAGTCAGTATTGCAACAGAGAATACTGACTTCGAGGACATCTACGATGTCTCAGAGGAGGACGACGACGACAATGCCGTCTCGAGACAATTTCAACAGATATCGCTTGCACGTGCCTCTCACGATCAGGTTGTGAATCGGTCGTTAATGAAGCAGCCTACTCGTCTGATTATTCCAGTCCATGCCAGCAATCGTTTGGAGCAGCCTCGGTCTGCAGTCGATGACTTCAAGAAAATCATCTCGCCAGTGCCCATTACGCCGTCCGCGCAGCTTCCCATGTCACCTGCCCAACTAGCCTTCATGGGAAAGCAACAATCTTTGGATATCCTCGGCATCTCGGCGCCCCCCTCCCTTGACGGCAGTCTGTCATCGGAGCAGCTGGCGGCTATGAGCGCGCCATCAACTCCCGTCATTGGAAATGACGAGGACAAGACCCAGGAGGACTGGACAGGCGTCCATCTTCAGCCTGACGCGCTTGCAACCCTGCAAGCCTTACCCAACGGAGAGGATGACGTCCATGAGCGTCCGTCTCAAGTGATTGATATTTTCATGACGGTTCCCCAGCCGTCCACCGAAATGTCACAGCAACCGCTGCGCGTTGTAACCAGCTTCGCTTCTCAGACGGTCCAAGAACCTATTTTTGGGCCGAGCCCGACCCGACACTCTCTTATCGACTTGACTGGACTGGATATTCCATCCCCAGGATGCTTCTTTTCAGAGTTGTCTCCGCGAACCAGAACTGCTTGGCACCTGCCGACTCAATCTCCTGCGGATATGCCACCGCCAACTTCCACCACAGCGGAGCAGTTTTACCGGTGCCCCTGGAATATCCATACCTCAATTCCGCCAGTCCCCAGACGCCCTCATTCATCGGAGAACTTCTATCAAAGTATTGGCTTTTCTTCAGATCCTGTTGAACAGGTCATTGAAGTACGAGATGATGACGATGACGATCTCACAGACGGCATGCCCACGGCCAGACCAGTAGTTCAGCACCAGGATTCCAACGAGTTTGGAGACTCGATGAAGGAGGCGCCCGCGTCGCCTGGAATTGACGAGGCTGAAGATGTCCTAACCGAAATTATTGTCGATTACGATCCCGATTACATACGCAAGCAGCAACAGGAGGCTCTGTCTAATTTGGGTCGCACTGAGCTCTGGCTGTTGGCGCAGCGAGCCTATCTCAATGGCGTCCATGGTGAAGAACATAGCGCTGCTCCAGAGACTGTCGAGGAATGCCCGGATGATGATGATGACGACGACGACGACGACGACGACGACGACGACGACGACGCCGAGCATGAAGCTGCAGAGCTGAAGCCTGAGTCTGAGGCCAAGGCTCAAGTTGACCAAAGCCTCCAAGTCAACAACAAGGTTGTGCGTTTTTCAAGCGCCATCTCAACAACCTCGCAACCCAAGCGCTTGCCGCCAAAACTCTTACGACTGGAGTCCGCCTATTACCGGTCTTTCCAAGACTACATTGTTCGAGCGCAGCTTCGAGACGTCTTCGTGCAGCAGCTACCCCGCTTCGAAGCTCTCCAAGCGCAGCGCACAGGTCTTCGCGAGATGCATCGAAACCAGCTGCTCGGCAAGTATCAGCTGAGTGTCGTCCCTCAGTCCGCCAAAAAACGACTCAGTGCCAACGTCGTCCGCAGCGACCTCATTCTCATCGACGACCCCGAGAAGCTACGCAAAGAAAAAGAATTCGAGGCCAAGAACCAGATGACCATTCCGGCATGGCACGTGGCAGCGCTCAAATTTCTCAACGGCGGTCGTCTCATCTCCGCGCCCGTGACGAAGAGGTTGTCTCGGCTTTCTCACGTGGTGTCCGGCGGCGTGGATGGCGTGGCTTCTCGTGATCGAGCTCGGATCCTCGATCTGGGCGGACAGTCGACGGGCGACTGGGCATGGCACTGCGCGCTGCAGTATCCAAACACCGAGATCTACACAGTCACCACGAAAGCCATCCGCCAGATGTCCAACTCCAACATCCGCGGCCCCCCGAATCACCGCCAGGTCGCGGTAGAGCGCCTCACAAAACTCCCCTTTGCTGATAATCAGTTTGACCTGGTCTCCGCCCGTGAGCTCCACGGCATCCTCAAATTCATTGGCGAAAACGGCGAGGACGAGTGGGACGGCTGCCTGCGCGAGTGCATGCGCGTGCTCAAGCCCGGCGGCTATCTGGAATTCTCCATCATGGACTCCGACATCATCAACGCTGGGCCGCTGGGCCTCGCCAAGAGCGTCGAGTTCGGCTTCACACTCAAGACGCTCGGCTACGATCCGAATCCGTCCAGGCTGTGGCTGGGCCGACTCTCTCGCGCCGGGTTCGACCAAGTTCGCCGCGCATGGATATGCCTTCCCCTCGGCGCCAGACGCAAAACGAGCATGCCTCCCACACCGCCCATCAAGGACAATGTCCCCTCGCATACCGTCAAGAAGAACGGGGGAAACAAGTCATCATCCTCCCATCCGGTCGACGCCTTGGACATGGGCAGCAGCGAGAACATCGCCAACGTGTGCAACATCGTCGGCGGCTGGAGCTGGGAACGATGGCTCCTCCGATGCGAGATGGAGAAAGTCGCCGGCGAGATGCGGCTCATCGACACCGTCACCACCGGCGCAGCCATGGAGGAAGCGGGGAAATGTCTGGACGGGGTGCATGCCGTGATGGAGGAGGGCAGAGATTGCAAGGCCGGCTTTCGAATGCTGAATGGGTATGCGAGGAAGCCGGGACGAGAGGGCCATGTGATTCGCATTGCACTGGCAGATTGAAGGACCCAGACCCACAGGCCGCAAGACATTTTATTAATTTGTTCTTGATTCTTTGCTGTTTGTTTTCTCTTTCCAAGAAAATAAGAGTTGCTTGGTTGGCTGTTTCTGGATCGTCTGTCATTAAAACAATTCCACCAACATCATGTACAGATAACATGCATGTATATTTCCGGTGCAAATGGGACGATTCTCCATGACGGAAAGGGGCGGCATGGCGGATGGTGTGTATTGGAATCTGGGAGGCGTTTGGCCGGGCTGTGTGTGCGTCGGGCTACGAATTTTGTTGAAAGGCGAGGGATGCGAAGTGACGAGATGTCTATGAGATACCTTGATGGTTTTGGCTTTTATCCACTTTCTCTCTTTCTTTCGTTTTCTTGTTTCTATTTCCTATCTTTCTCTTTTCTGGCTTGATTTTTCTTTTTCTCTTTACATCCTTTCTTTGTTCTTCTATTCTCTCCTTTGGTCATTTATTCCTTCTTTATTCCTCCTCTTTTCTTTTGTTTGCATTTACTTCTTGCCCACGGATGGAAATGCTCTCTTACTTCAACCTATATCAACATGCCCAAATTGCCGTCCAAACAACAGACTACGAGTCTAAGAGGGCGTATTAAAAAAAAGCCCATGATAAGATATGAGAGAGCGCTTTTGTGACCGAGTGAGTTAGTAGTGCTGCTTTTAAGATGAGTCAAGTCTTTCTTCTACTTTCTTCTTCATGAAGCACTGATTTGAATGGACTACAAAGAGCGAGTCTTTGCGCTAAGACTGGCCGTGTATTCCACGAAACAAAGAAAAAGAAAAGGAAAAGTGCAAAAAATAAATCAAGAGCTGACAGAACGGGGATTCGAACCCCGGCCACTTTCGTGAACGGAACGCTTCTTTGTGAGATGCGAAAGTACATATTCATGTGCTTGAGACCGTCGCCATAGACCACTCGGCCATTCTGCCCTAGTTGCTTACACGAAGTTTTCGGCCCATAATTCGCTACTAGTAGCTGACACTAGGGGGAAAGAAAAAAGAAAAAAAAAAAGGAAAAAGGCTGAAGGAACAAGATGGCCTGTTTTGGCCTGGCGTGTCGCTGTCGCCCCGCCCAAAATCGGATCAGTCAGCAGCCGGCCAGCAGCACTGGGAAGCTTTCTTCCGACAGGCTCAGAGAAGCAGCGGCCCCAAGTCGTGACGAACGGCATCCATCTCTCAAGCTTCGTTTCTCATTTTCTCGCTGCCCTTTCGCATCCCTCGTGCAAAGCGACTTTCAACTCCCGGCCAAATCAAAGAGTACGCCTCTTTTCCGCCCCTCTTCGCCTTGTTTTTTTTTTTTTCTTTTGGAGAGCATCCCTCCAAACCACCATGTCCGGGCAGAACAATTGGCAAGAAGAAGCCATGCGCCGTCTACGCCAGATGCAGTCTCGCGGCGGAATGGGCGGCCGACCCGGCGGCGGTATCCCGCCTCAATTGCCTCGCGGGTCCGGAGGAGCCCTCATCGGTGGTGCCCTGCTCCTCGGCGGTGCGTGGGTGCTGTCCAACTCGCTCTTCAACGTGGACGGTGGCCACCGCGCCATCAAGTACAGGAGGATAAGCGGCGTGAGCAAGGAGATCTACAACGAGGGCACGCACATCAACATCCCGTGGTTCGAGACGCCCATCGTCTACGACGTGCGCGCCAAGCCCCGAAACGTGGCCTCCCTGACGGGCACCAAGGACTTGCAGATGGTCAACATTACCTGCCGTGTGCTGTCGAGGCCGCAGGTGGAGGCGCTTCCGCAGATCTACAGAACGCTGGGCGCCGACTACGACGAGCGCGTGCTGCCGTCGATTGTGAACGAGGTGTTGAAGAGTGTGGTTGCCCAGTTTAATGCCAGCCAGCTGATTACGCAGCGAGAGATGGTGGCCAAGCTTGTGAGGGATAATCTGGCTCGACGAGCTGCTCGTTTTAACATTCTTCTCGATGATGTTTCCCTCACGGTATGACTCTGCTGCTCTGCGGTTTTTTTTCTTTCTTTCTTTTTTTTTTTCCTTTCCTTTCCTTTTCTCTTTTTTTCTTTACTTTAGGAATATTCCCCATGACTGTCGTTGCATCAAGACCACTAACATAAATCGTTTGCCTTAGCATCTTGCCTTCTCACCCGAATTCACCGCCGCCGTCGAGGCCAAACAGGTGGCGCAGCAAGAAGCCCAGCGAGCAGCCTTTGTGGTCGACAAGGCCCGACAGGAGAAGCAGGCCATGGTGGTCAAGGCGCAGGGTGAGGCTCGCTCAGCTGAGCTCATTGGCGAGGCCATCAAGAAAAACAAGGCCTATGTTGAGCTCAAGAAGATTGAGAATGCTCGTCTGATTGCGCAGCAGTTGCAGGAGTCTGGCTCAAAGAACAGGCTGATGCTGGATTCAGATGGTCTGGGCTTGAACGTGTTTGAGGGAGCGGACAGCAAGTAGAGGCGCAAGACGACGGCTATCAAGTTTGTTCGGTTGATGGTATCGAAAGCAGAAAACAAAAGAAGAAAGAGAAATGGGGGTCTGAAAGACAATATGTCCGCCGGCAAGGGGAATCGGGATTTGAAGGACAGGAAACACATGAGGGGAAACCAAACTCGGGTGGAAAACGGAAGAAATCACCCCTCTCTACTGAAATGAAGCTTTGTAGCACTGACGGAGGTTTGTACTATAGTTCTATATATTCTGAGAAGGGAAGGGGGGGCCGTCTCGTTTAATGCTTCGTCTTACTTCGGGACGGATTCACGGCATGACGGTATTTTACATGAATATCACTTGTCTGATGTCAGAATAATATTCCACCGGACCAAACGTGGTCTGTCTCCTCGCAGCCCGTGCTCGCCCATTTTCCGCATTCTTGATTTCTTGCCTGCCACAGCTGAGGCCCTGTCCCCAATTCGTTTGTACGTGGCGCTGGCGCGAAAGAGTGCTTTTGAAACGGGTGGCTAGTAGGTCGTTGTTTGAGAGACCTGTCCAATTCCTCTCTCTCTCTCCCTCTCTCTCCCTCTCTCTCTCTCTCCCTCTCTTTTTTTTTTTTTCTTCTT